TCCTAAAAATGTTCAATTGGATTGCGATTATATTTTTTATATATATATATATAAATATATCTTCATCTTATCATAATCAATCAATCTTATCATAGTTATATATATCATAATTAGTGTTTTCTACAAAGAGTACTCAATGTTAAAAAAAAAAAAGAGCAATAATAAATTAGTAAAAAGGCTTATCTAATTTTTTTCTTCAACAAATTGTTTCTTCATTAGTTGATTTATCAGGAAGAAGCTTCTTCCTGATAAACCTACTGATTAAAAATGATCAAAAAAATTATACAAGTTTTTTACAAATATAGATAGGGCAGATAACTGCATTCACCATGTGCAATGACTAACTTGTAACAACTAATTAAATAAATAACTTCTTCTATAGATATAACAGAGTTATATCTATAAAGCATTTTTATTTAACTAATTATTACAAGTATTTACGCTTGAAGCAATATAGCTCTTGCAATGTCTTCGTTTATATATATATATATATATATATATATATATATATATATATATATATATATATATATATATATATATATATATATATATATATATATATATATATATATACATATATATATACATATATATATATATATATATACATATATATATATATATATATATATATATATATATATATATATATATATATATATATATATATATATATATATATATATATATATATATATATATATATATATACACATATATACAAAATTAGCCCATATAAAAATACTAATGCCAAGATAAGTTTTATTATGTTATGAGGTAAAGCATTTAAAAAAATACTTTAACGCTAGTTCAGAAGTACAGTGAAAATGATAGCCTTTTATAACAATAAAAATAAATAATATAAAATAAGAAAATTTGGTTGTTTATTGTAGAAGATAGTAATGTGTTATGAAATACCATCCAAGCCTATATAAGAATTTATGTTCTATGAAAAATAATAAACTTATCTTTTTAATCAAAATTACTTGGAGCTTGCTCTCAGTCTAGAATAATTTGTCAATAAAGACGTTTGTGCAAAAAAAATCTTTTCAATTTAAAATAGTTTGTTTTTTTTCAATTTTAATCAAACATAATGATAAAAAGGAAAGATTTATGTGCAGAAAAAAAAGTGTAAATTTATACTTTACACGGTAAAGTATAAATAAGGCATTTCCAATTGAAATACTACATGAGGAGTTGGCACATTAGAGTATTACATGCAACAAACAGCTAAACTAAAAAAAAAAATTGATTGTTTCACGACCACAAACAATTCGGAAGACCTCACTCCACCAAAATAAAAAAGAAGACAGGTACATAGTTAGGAGTTCGCCACTGATTTCAATGAACAAAAAATTAGCGCTACAACGATTAAACAACATTTGCTAGGTGTTGGTCTCAGAGGTTGTGTAGCAAAAAAAAAATATGTTTAACCAAAGTTCATAAACAGAATTTATTGAATTGGGTCAAAGAACACAAATATCGGACCCCAGATGACTGGAATAATGTTCTTGGGTCAGATCAGAATCAATTGATCAGAATAAATGTTTGAAATTTTTGAGGATAAACATTGGCCCTTTGTTCACTGTAGATCTGGAAAAAGGCCGTTGGATGATTGCAAACTGAAAACAATAAATCACTATGGTAGCAAAATTATGATTTAGGGTTGTTTTGGAGGAAGCCAATTCAAAAAACTTGTAAAACTTGACAAAAAAATGATAAGAGAAGTCTATTTGCATATTTTGAAAGAACATTTTCGGATTGTAGAACAGAACTTATTTGTGAAGGATTTGTTATTCAACAAGACGACAATCCAAAACATACAGCTTAAGTCATGAAAAAATATTTATGGAAAAACTTGAAGTATACAAGAACAGAGTACTACAGTTGATAGCATGGGTACCTCCAAGTCCTGGTTGCTATAAAATAAAACTACGTTGGGATCACCTAGACAGAGAAGTGTAAAAAAAATCTTTGGACATCACTTCAAAATATTTGTAGTGCTGTTATTGGCCATTATTTACAACTACTGTGTAACAGATTGCCTCGTTTTTGCCAGGCTATCAATAAATTTAGAGGCAGTCATATTGATGAAATTTGCAATTTAATTTAAAGAACTTAATTTAACAATAGTAATTTATAATTTTTTTTGTGGAAATTGAGCAAATTATAATGTAAAATTTTTTTTATTTTTGTGGTTTTTTCTTTAATAAAGTCCCGGAAAAGTCCAAGATCATTCAAAAGTCTAACACTTTGCTAAATGTAAATAAAATAAAAAGTTTTTTTTTATGTATTTTAATCTTGTTGTTATCGGTGAGTTATTTGTTGAAAGTTATAAAAAATTCTGCTAAAAGTTATAAAAAATACTTGAGCTAAATTGAATTACAGTAGCAGAAGATAAAAAGTAAAAAACATATACATTTAATAGAAGTAAAACAGGTAAAGGAAATTAAAACACATTACATTGGAAAAAAAACTATTATTTATTACACAATATTGATAATAACTTATTTTATATAGGTTTTTTATTAACTAATTTTTATCTAACAATTTAACTAATTTTAATTTAATATTTACAGTGTCTCAAAAAAACTGATTAAACATTTAAAAAAATTTTTTTTCTAAAAAAAGTGCTGTATTTTTGTAAATTTAGACTTTTTTGGTAAACTTAAGATTAATAAAAATAATAGAATGTGTTTAATCAGAATAAATAATTTTTAAATTAATTTAGTGTAAAATCACAAAGTTTTCAGTCTTAAAATAAAGGAACTTAAGACGTTTTTTTATTGTGAAAAAAATATTTGACCAAATGCATTATTTGTTAGGTCAAAAATTTTAAACACTTTGAAGCTGTAATCCAAGCAAAGGGAGGCCTTTGCTTGGATTACAGCTTCTAGATGTCTAAGCATTGATTCGACTAAAGAATTTTTTTTTCTGGTTGAATCTTTTTTCAGGCTTCTTCAATTGCCACTTTGAGGTTATCTTTTTTGGAAAATCTCCAATTTTTTGGTCTAAAATTTCCCACAAATGTTCAATGGGATTAAGGTCTGGTGATTGTGTGGGCCATTCCAAGACCTCAACATTATTCTCAACAAACCACTCTTTGGTTTTAGTGGCACTCTGCTTGAAATCATTACCTTGCTGAAATGTAAAATCAGATCCTAACCAAAGTTTTCAAGCTTTCAAATTTTGCTTTAATATGTTTCTGTATTACACCTGATCAATTATAGTATCAATAAATTGGAGTTTTCCAACACCCTTCCAAGCCATTAAACCCCATACTATCACGTTACCGCCATCATACTTAACAGTTCCTCTCACGCAGCCTAATTTGTAGGCTTCTTTGGCTTTTCTCAAAACTTTTTGGGCTCCATCAGATGACTTTAATTTGTCGCTTTACAGGATCTTTTTCCAGAAACATAAAGGCATATTTTTGAACTTCTAAGCAAACTCTAATCTTCTTTTCATGTGTTTCTTACTCAAATATGGTTTATTATGCACAAGTCGTCCTTGAAACCCCTGGTCTCAGATACGATTTCTGATTGTCTGATGGGATAATTTGATTCCATAATTCTCTTCAGCTTGCTCAGCCAGTTTTTTGAGCAGAAATGAAGTGATTTTTCTCAACTTGTATTATTAAGTTTCTATCAAAACTCTTAGAAGTCTTTTTTTGTGACCATGCCCTTCTTTTGTGGCTGTTGTCCCGATCAAATTATACTTCTTTATTATTCCGGATACTGTACTATGAGGAATTCCAGTTACTTGTCGCACCTGACGATAATTTCTCTGAGAAACAGTCTAGTGACGTCTACCTCCAACCATTTTACTTAAAAAAAGCATGAAACCTTTTTTTTATACAAAACTTTTTTTTTAAAACAAAAAAACAATTTTTTGTTATACAATTTCATTAATTGTATAAAAATTTATTAAAATACTTCAACAAACTTCACATAAAATTAATTAAACTTACCTAAATATCGCTTGGTCGGATAATTTTTTTACAAGCCTATTCAATACTAAGTTTTTTTTAGGATAAATAATACACCAACTGAAGCATGAATCAAAAAATTTAAGCGCTAAATAACATACTATTCCCAATAGAATTAAAATGACAGACAAAACATTGCTATTCATTGTTTTTAGTATAATTTAGAGTGTAAACATTTTTTTTTTGGGAAAAACTTGTTTGGTCTGATGATTTTCTGAGACACTGTATATATTTTTGTTTTTCTTGTCATAATTCTTTTAATTATCTGTTTGTATATTAGTAATTTTCATATATATATATGTATATATATATGTATATATATATATATATATATATATATATATATACATATATATATATATATATATATATATATATATATATATATATATATATATACATATATATATATATATATATATATATATATATATATATATATATATATATATATATATATATATATATATATATATATATATATATATATATATATATATATATAATATAATATATGAAAATTATATAACTCTTAAAAAGTTAAACATCTATATGCATTAAAAAAAAATGTGTTGATGTATGTATCTTTATATAAACAGCATGAGTCTTTATTAATAGAAAGTAGTATCTTACTTTGCTCAACAAATAGACTGAAACTTGATTGAATTAGTGTTGAAGTTGCTACATTTTTAATAATAGAACTTGATTCATTTATTTGAAAAGCTAAAAAGTATGTAAAGAAATCAAAGAAATTAAACTACACAAAAGAAATTCACTGTTTCTAAAAATTAGATTTTTATGGTAGTTTCCATGATAATTCTTTAAAAAGATGATTATTAACAAATGATGACTTGGCAAAACCTTTCAATTTTGTTTGAGGGAGATTTTAAGGTTTAGCTGAAAAACACTTTAAATTTGCAAGATTTAATGACACTAAAACGAGATTACTATAATAAATTTTTCAAAATTGAAATAACAAAATATTGAAAAGCATAATTGTAAATTCTAAAGAATTATAAAGAAATTAAATATTCTAGAAAGAAGTAAAAGTAATTCAATAAAAAAGAAATAAGAAGTAAAAAAAATTCATAAATATTTATATATTAGGCAATATGTTTTGTAACATTTTATGAGTTAGGCTTTGCTCAACAAAAATGTTTTAAGTAATTGACATGCTTAATAAAAATCCTTAATAAAAGTGAAAATCCCAAGGGTTTATGCAAAACATGTTTTCTAACTTTAAAAAAATGTAAAAGAGAACACACAACATATACTATTGAGAGATTACACAAATTTGTAAAAAAAAAAACTGATTTTAATCAGAATACAATAATAGAAGAGCTTATAATAACAGACAAAAGTTGATTGGAAAATTGAATCAATGTGACAGAAAAGGTTTATAGCCTGACCTAATTGATTTTAATTCAATTCATGTTCCTATGATCTGAGGTCAGAGTATTAGGACTCAAGATTTTAGAGTTAAATTTTTTTCACTATTTTATGAATTAAAAAAAAGAAAAAAGAAAAATGTCTATATTATACCAATAAAGATTTTAAGAACTTTAGTGAAAAATTAACTTTTTTTAAATTTTTTAAAGATTCTAGTGTTAGGAAAGTTTTTTTTTTAAGAAATTTCATTATGCAATATTATTTTATATCTTAATATTATGCAACATTGTTTTAGTTAAACACCCTCATTAGTGGATTTTTAGTTAAACACCCTCATTAGTGGATTAGTTAAACATCCTCATTAGTGGATTTTTCACTCCATCATTTTTCTAGTCTCAAAGTTCTTAAACTATTTACAGTTCAAAGTTGTGTTACATACTTTAGCACAAAAATATTAGCAGACAGGGTAAAAAATTTTTGAATTTTACCAATATTTTTGCACATATTTTACTGAAGCCAATTTATGATATACCAATTAAAAGTTATTATAAGTGTTTTTTTTTAAATCTTTTAACTGGTATATTATAAACCAATAAAAATCTATGTTTAGTATTATTTTGAATCAATTTTAATTGATTAAAAAAATTACAATTTTTAATGAGTTCAAAAATTAGCGGACAAAGCATTTATAATATTAATATTATATTACCATTCATATGTTATGGATACATATATATATATTTTTTTTTTTATTTTTTTTTTTTATTTTACTTCACCTCCTCAAGGCCGAGAAGGCCACTACAGACGAGGAGGCTACTTATTATGTGGCTATAACCCTCTCTCAACTCTATAACTCCGAAACACGAACCTTGACGAACAAGGCCGCTGCGCGGAGAAACGAGTTGTTATATGGATATATATATTATCATTCATATGTTATGGATACTTATTATGCAGTAGAAATAAATTTACTTTAGCATTTTTCTCTATTTAGTACATTATTTATAAAAATTCAAGTGTAAGTAAACATTTTTATTTAAATTCACTGCTTAAAAGCATTTCTCTTTGAACATCTTCCTCAAACAAAATTTAAAGATTTTGATATTTTGCCAAGTTAATCTACTATATGCATACAATCATCCTTTCAAAGGATTTTCTTAAAACTATTATTATTATAGCTTATTATTATATATTATTATAAACTATTATTATTTAAAAACTTTGGCATATAAAATTCGCCGAATGGTCACACACAAGCAGTGAACGCCTGAGGGAAAAAATGAAGTATATTAGAATACAGGAGAATTATTTATCGAACAAAGCATATTTTGACAGTTGTCAAGACATATATAAAGATTAATAGAAGAAAATTTTAAAACAAATAAAACAGACAATTCACCTAAACAGCACTTACAATAATAATAAAAAATAAATTGATTTATAACCACTAATATGAATGAAGATATGCAACAAATATATCACTAAACAAAAAGCTTAAAAAACAAAACATAGATTAACAAAAACAAAAAGTATGCATACAACAATGTAAGGCCTTAGAATGGAAAAAAAAAACAAAAAAAAACATTAATGCTGATGTGCATAATCACATGTCACCCGCATAAATGTAAACATGTAGTGAAGGATATTAAAAAATTCTCTGAATAATAATAAAAGATGAAACTTGTGCATGTGAAAGTAAAAACAAAGCTGAATAATGAATGTAAGATAATGTAACATAAAAACTCCTTGTTAGCAGTGGTAATATGAAAATTAGCAGTTAAATAAAATATTAATAAATATTGAAAAAAACTAACTAAATATTATAATAAAACCAGATAAATTTAAGCCAAATGAGTGGCTAAAAATTCGTTTTTGTGTGATATAACAATGATATAAGTTGTGACATAAAAACGATGTACAGAGTGGAAAAAAGTATTGTTAAAAAGTAAAGTTTTCTCTACGGTCCGAATTAAAAGACCATATCTAAATCGAAATTTCCAAAAAGTAAAGTTTACTCTATGGTCTGAATAATTATTATTATAAACTATTATTATATATTAAATCTGATTTTTACAGACAGTGAGTTGCTATTAAAGATTGAAATAAAGATAAAAAAAGATAAAAAACTTTCAATCAATTAAAAACTTATGGTAATAATTTTTATCAACATGAATTATACTTAAATTTTAGCATCAGAAACTAAAAATTATTTATAAGTAATCTGATAAAACTTAAATAATACGTAAATTAAACATTTATTAAATTAAACAAGAACAATCACCGAAACTTTATTAAACGGAAAAAATTTGAAAATGTTACTTTTATTATTTTTAACACTTGAATTGAGTTGAATTATAGTAGAAGCTAAAAGTAAAAAAATAAAAAAGCTGATGTTAAAATTATATAAATAAAAAAGAGATAAAGCATAAATAAAGGAAATAAAAATATTTAATAGAAAAAAATATAAAATTACTACATATTATTACTAAAATTTATAAAAAACATAACTAATTTTTATTATTAAAGGGAGTGAAGCAGATTTTTCGGTGTTTGAGTCTCAGACATACAGCAAAGTTCTTAGTTTGGGTATGATCAAGTTTATATCAAATAAAAATATTTGCAAAAAATTGCAGTATTCTGAGCATGGGAATAAAAAAACCTATAAAAACTTCAAGCGCCAAAAAAAGCTGCAACAATCTTTGTATTATTTTATTATAAACATTGTTAACAAATAAATTTATTTATTTAAACTAGTAATAAAAATAAAATTAAAGTAATAACAAACATTGAAAAATAAAAAATTGAAAAAATTGAGTTTATGTAAGCATATGATAAACGTTTGTTATCTTACTTTGTTTCAAAAGTGGAATGCTTAAACTTGATAGAACCACTGTTGAAGTTGATGTGTTTAATGAACTAAAAGAACTTGGTGTCAAATCTTTTATTCTATAACTCGATAGAACCACTGTTGAAGTTAATGTGTCTAATGAACTTAAATAACTACTGGGTGTCATTTTTTTTATACTGTAATTGGATAGAACCACTGTTGAAGGTAATGTGTCTAAGAAACTTAAATAACCACTTAGTGTCACTTTTTTAATACTGTAATTGGATAGAACCACTGTTGAAGTTAATGTGTCTAATGAACTTAAATAACCACTTGGTGACACTTTTTTTATACTGTAATTGGATAGAACCGCTGTTGAAGATAATGTGTCTAATGAACTTAAATAACCACTTGGTGACACTTTTTTTATACTGTAATTGGATAGAACCGCTGTTGAAGATAATGTGTCTAATGAACTTAAATAACCACTTGGTGACACTTTTTTTATACTGTAATTGGATAGAACCACTGTTGAAGATAATGTGTCTAATGAACTTAAATAACCACTTGGTACCACTTTTATACTATAACTTGATTGGATCATTGAGAAAGCTAAAAAAAAAAAAATTATACAAAACAGATAAACAAAAAAAATTTACAAATAATTATAAATTTACTACAAAATTATTTAAACTCATCAAAGAGTAGAAATCCTGTCTCATTATTGATGACATACATAAATTGTATGACTCAGGAAAACATAAAGATGAGAGAGAATTCTAACGTGTTAATAAAAACTATATATATATATATATATATATCTATATATATATATATATATATATATATATATATATATATATATATATATATATATATATATATATATATATATATATATATATATATATATATATATATATATATATGATATATATATATATATATATATATATATATATATATATATATATATATATATATATATATATATAACTTATACTAGATATATAACATATTTATTATTTGAACACAAAGAAACAGTCACAGTAAATGGATGCAACAATTCTGAATGACAAGTTACCCAAGATTGAGTTTTGATTAATGGAACAAGTGAAGTTAACTTTTTTGGTTGTTTCATTTACATTTATAAAATAATTACCTGCACAATCCCGAATTTGAAAATTATAAATTGATCCTTTGGGACAGGAACAATTAAATGAGCCATTGAGATTTATACAGATAGACTGATTATATTTGCAGTTTGTCAAGCACTCATTGATATCTATATACAAAAAATACTTAAAAATAAATTTACTGTTTCTGGTCAAAATTAAATGTAAAACTTAAAATAAAATGTTTAATTCTATATTTTTAAACTTAACTTGGCAAGTACTTAATGTTGCATTGAAATAAAATCCAAAAGAGCAAAAACGTTGTATTGTGCCATTGGAGCATGTACAATCAGCCAGACAACCTTTTATATAAAAAAAATATTTATAAATGAAAAAAGAGAACAGAAATTATATAATACATATATCAAATACTCTAGTGCATGGAAATAACTCTATATACATACATGGATTAGTTCATATCTCAACAGACCATACCTTATTTAACTAAACCAAATTGGAGCTTTTCAATCAATGCAATATTTTAAAACTAAACATATGTGTATTTAAGTCAAAGATAGGGCTAGATTCAGGGTTAGGGTTAGAATTAGGATCAAAGTTGGCTTCAGGGTTTAGTTAAATTTTTTTTCTTCAGAAGAGTCAAGTGAGATAGTTAGTCTCAACTTATAATCCCACTGTTTATGAAATTATGTGTGAGTTTTTGTAGTTCTATTTGACATTTGTGTTTAAAGATGTTTAAAATCAAAGAAAAAGAAGACCATTTAAAGCACATAAACTTATGTGTGGAAGTAATGAAACATTTGCACCTAAACACTGATCTAAAAATGATATGATCTAAAAATTACTACAACAACACTATATTAAAAAAATAGTTTATTCAAAGTTTCATAAAAATAGTTTATTCAAAGTTTCATAAAAAATAGTTTATTCAAAGTTTCATAAAAATAGTTTATTCATAGTTTCATAAAAATAAAAATAAAAAAATGTAAATGTTAATTTTCACATTATAATATTAAGGCAAAATTTAACTTTTTGGATTATAAATTCTAGATTTAATAAGTATAAAAAACAGTATTAATGAATTAGGTTTTTATTGTGATGATAAGTTAATATTATTGCCTAAAAAAGTGGTCCAAAGCTTGATAAAATTGAAAAAGATATTTATAAGTTTTTTGTAAATATTGGCTGTCTTAAATTAAAATAAAGATTAATTAAAAAATCATTTTAAATATGTAGTAAATTTAATATTTTTTAATATCACATTTAATGTTAAATTTTTTATGTCACATTTAACCTTTTTGAAAATTTGCATTGGCCTTTCAAAAAACTGAATGATGAATTATTGTATATTAATACTAACTCAAACCGCCCACCCAAAATTCTAAAAGAAATCCAAATTTCATTTAATAACAGGCCAAATCAAAACTCTTCTAATAAAAATATATTCAATTCCTCCAAAAATATTTATGAAAGATGCCTTGAAAGAAGTTTTCAAAATTTCATACTAGAAATATTTAAATAGAAACCTAATTTTGTTAATCATAAATCCTTAAAACTTTTTTAGTTTCTATTTAAATATTTCTAGTATGAAATTTTGAATATAAGTAACACCATGCTGTCAAAATACATATGGGAATTGAAAGGTAAAAAATAAATTTATGATTTTATATTGAATTAATTTATGCTTAACACAACACCTGCACATAATTATTTTTCCAAAAGTTTTATATTATACCGACAAGAAAAATAAGAAATGATTTCACATGAAAACTAATAAAAGTTTTTTAATTAAAAAATAGTATTTTAATTTATAAATGCAGACATGAACATAATAATTTAAAAAATCTTTTAAAAAAAAAAATACACTTATATATATATATATTTTTTCAATATTTCTTTTTTCAACTTTTCTTTCTTTAAAAATCTCCTAAATTTATTGAAATGCAAGAACACTAAAAAGGTGGGGCATGTTACATGTTAGCTGAGGAGAAAATCAAACAAATTAGGACCATAGTAAAGGCAAAACAAATTATAGGAAAAAAGCCCCGCCTTTTCAGTGTTCTTGTATTTCAATAAATTTAGAAGATGTAAAAACTTTAGAATTTCCAAGAAACAGTTTTAAAAAATTTAGCCTTAATGGGTCAAATCTAAAGAAAAAATTAACTTTTACTTTTCTCTCCCAATTGAAGGAAAAGTGTAATTTAAAAAAAAAAAAATTTAATATTTATTATTTTCTACTTTTTAATCTTATAAAAAATTATATAGATTAAATGTAAAATTACAAATGGACTCGAAAACTAGTGAAATTAATGGAACACATACAGCCGTCGAAGCCTCAGGGAAGAAAGAGAAAACCAGTAACTTTAATAAAAAACATGAGTGGAAACCTCAGGGAAGAAAGAGAAAACCAGAATCTTTAATGAAAAACATATGTGTGAAAGCCTCAAAAAAAAAAGAGAAAAGATTATGTGAGTAAAAGTTAACTAAAAACTTTTAAATTATGTTGGACAGATGTCCAGTATGAAAGCACAAAATTCAAGCAAAAAATTATTATTAATAATTGTATATATAGCATCTATCTGTATAAGCTTGTTTTAACATAACTGCTTCATAGAAAAACATATCTTACTTTGGTTAACAAATGAATTGTTAAAACTTGATACAGTTGTTGAAGGTACAAACGAACTTAATCTTGGTGTAGCTAAAAATTAAATTATTAGTAAAAATAATAAAAAAATAAAATATAAAAATAATATAAAGAAATTTTAATGTGAAGTATTTTACTTGTTTTTGGGAATATACAGCTAAAACTTGATTGAACAACAAATAATTTTAAAATAAAAAATTTTTAGGAAAAGTATTTTCATTGAAACAAATAAAATATAAAATATTTGCTTACAAAATTTTTTTTATTAAAATAATTTTAGTAAACAATTTTATTATAACATATAATTTTACTCCAAATTTTTGACTTCAAATTATTCTAAAATTTTCCAATTTTACTTCAAATACATATATCTCTCTTTTATTTTTATTTTATCAATCCTAACTACTTACTAAACAACAAACAATTACAACTAATAGGCCAGGCTCGATTTCAACAAGGGTCAGAGTCATTTTTTATTAAATCAATTTAATTTACGATTGTAGCTCAGGATAATGAAATTAATGAATCAAAAATTTTCAAATTTTTGAGAATTATTGAGAAATTATTGAGAAAAGGGTACAAAAGTATAGTTTATTTTTCAGAGAGGATATTATAATTGGATGGTTAAGCGTCAAACCTGCCTATAAAATAAATATTTTGAAACAAGATAGTTAGACACAAAGTTTAAAAGTCTTTAACAAAAACCAGTAAACCAAAAAAATAAAAAAAAGTATTTGCAGTAAAGTACATTTAAAAATTTTAATCACAGTATATTGGTATTAGCAAAAAAACACTACATAAATCTTTTTTTTACATAAACTCATTTTTTTCATCTTCATAAATGACTTTATTTCTTCATATTCTGAAAAAAAAAATGTTTCTTACTTTCTTCTAATATCAAATATATTTTCTAAAACTATTTTTATAAATAACAAAAAAAATTTAAACAAAATTTTGTTTTTGTTGTTTATAAAAATAGTTTTAAAACATGGCTTAAATATATAAAACATTATTAGAGACTAGTGATGGTAGAGATGTGATGCGTTTTTTTGGCTCTTGTTTTTTTGGTTTTACTAAATTTCTACTAAATTTAACTTAAATGGTACTATCTTAATTCTTAATTTAATTTCAGATTTAAATATAACAATTAATACTGAAAATTATTGATGTTCTTTTTATTTTGGTATGCTTAAAGGTTAACATGGTTGGAGCAGTCCTGTATAAAAACCTCTTAGATAATTTCATCTTCCTAAATTTTTTCTTAATTGGTTTTAATGTTATATATTGACACAATAAACATTGTTTATTGTGTCAATTTATAACATACATTTATTATAATTAATTATATTTAATGTTTAATATATATACACTAGGGTGTTAAAACCTATCCTATAAAATTTGTTATTCTTTTAAATATTAAATGTTGGATTGAATATTAATCACATAAAAGGAGCATGTTGAAAAAATTAAGAAATTAGTCTACAGAATATCCTGGAATTGGTGAAAAACCTTCACAAAAACCTATTTTATCACTCCGTGGCGTATAAAAGGGTCAGGTCAGGTCAGGATAATCGAGATCAATCTTGCTACTGGTATCACGTAACCCAGTACCACCTGCAACAAGCCCTGCTGCCTTGCAGAGTGTGCTCTTCTTATGCAAAGGCTAGGAGAAATAAACTCCGACTAAAAATTCCCCTGCCTTGTGGCTCTTGGTTGAGTAAAGGCTAGAGATGGTGTCTCGATAAAAACACTCATTTTGGGCATATGTTAACTGCATCCAGCTAAACATCCCCTGCCTTGAGGCTCTTGGTTGAGTAAAGGCTAGAGATGGTGTCTCGATAAAAATACTCATCTTGGGCAGATGTTAACTGCATCCTGCTACTGTCTTGTAGAAGGCGTCCTAGGTAAAGACTTTAGGGGTAAGCAGAAAAATTCTGCTAACCAGCCTCGAACTCCTTCTTCATCTATTAGGCTGGCGTAGATGTAACCTGTGTTACATTGTTTCCTGCTTAGGATGATGAATGCTGGATCTCTATGACTCTACTCATAGAATTTTGCTTATGCCTCTATGATAATGGCTATGCAACTCTTCCTGTTATCTCCATATGAGGGTACAGCTCTAAAACTCAGTTTAATGGTTCTGAGGCCGGCTGGTAGTAAGGTTTCCCGAACTCTGTGGTAGCTCTCAGAGAGGCTGATTCCATCAACAGCTGCAAAATATCAGAGTAATAACAGTGCCATGTTGCGCATGGATGGTGTCCCTGTTAATGCTTTTGGTGTGCATTGTCAAGGCCACATAAGGGGCCTTATGTCACGGCTTAGGGTTAATTAACAGGACTGAGACAACTGCATAGCTCATTGATTAGGAGGCTGTGCTCTATCTATGAATGAGTCAAGTTCTCATTAAACCAAAATCATGACCAAAGTAACCAAAAATTTAAAACCTAAAAAACCATCCCCACCACCTAAATATTTCAATATATCTTTTACAAATATTCGCGGTCTACGAAGCAACTTTCCATCAGTTGAGTCTTACCTCCTGCAAAATTCACCAGACTTGCTTGCACTCAGTGAAACAAATTTAAGTTCTGCTATTCCTTCTTCAGATGTCAGTGTTGATGGGTACTATCCTTTGATTCGTAAAAGCTCTAATAGTCACATGCTAGGTTTAGGGGTATACATACGCATTAATTCCCCTATTTGTCGTGAAATCAGGTTCGAATCCTTTGACCATTCTTTTATGTGCTTTCGCCTAGCACCTCTTCACTCTATCACCTTTCTCTTTGTTCTTTATCGTTCTCCTTCTTCCCATGATTGCACTCTTTTAGATGTTATCTCTGATCAAATTGACCATGCCCTCTCTCTTTACCCCTCTGCCAATATTGTTGTTGTTGGTGATTTTAATGCCCATCACACTGAATGGCTTGGCTCTAACACCACTGATCCTGCTGGCACTAAAGCCTTTAACTTCTGCATTTCTCAATCTCTTACTCAGATAGTTAACTTTGTGACTCGTTTTCCTGACAACCCTAATCATTTACCTTCACTCCTTGACTTATGTCTTGTCTCTGACCCTAGCTTATGTTCAGTTTCTCCCTTTTCTCCCTTAGGTGGTTCTGACCATGAAATGATCTCTATAAATCTTTCTTCTCATACTTCTTTTTTGGGCTCACCTTATCATCGCACCACCTACTACTACCCTAAAGCTGACTGGGATTCCTTTCGTGATTTTCTTCGTGATGATTCTTGGGCTGATGTTTTTTCTCTCTCAGCTGACAAATGTGCCTCCTACGTAACCTCCTGGATTCAGGCTGGAATGGAAGCTTTTATTCCTTCTCGTCGGTTTCAAGTCAAGCCTCATTCTACTCCATGGTTTTCTCCTTCTTGTGCGGCTGCTATATCCAATCGTAACCATTTTTTTCATCTTTTTCAAAAGAACATCTCTCTTGAGAACAAACGGCTATTTATTATTGCAAGAAATCGATGTAAAAAGGGGCTTTCTGATGCTAAACTCCATTATTCTCAGTTCACTAAATCTCGCATCTTATCGCAGAAGTTAGGCTCTAAAGACTTTTGGAAAATCTTCAACAGCATTGTTAACAAGGGTAGATCTAACATTCCATCTCTCATTCATGGGACTGATCTTGTTACCTCTCCCAGGGATAAGGCAGAACTGTTTGCAAAGAACTTTTCTTCTAATTCCACTCTTGAATCTTATGGACATTCTCTTCCTTCCATTCCAGTCAAACAGGTTGACCCATTGTTAGACATTCAAATCACTCCGGCTTCTGTTGCTAAAGTCATATCTCAATTAAACTTGTCTACAGCTTGTGGTCCAGACAACATTCCTGTCACAGTCTTGCAGAATTGTTCTCCAGAACTTTCTTCAATTCTCTCTAAACTATTTAACTGTTTGACTGAGTCTTGTTTTCCTGCTTGTTGGAAAATGGCATCTGTGGTTCCAATATTCAAAAACTATGGAGAAAATTCTGACCCCTCCAATTATCGTCCAATCAGTCTTCTTTCTGTTATTAGCAAGGTCTTTGAGTCTTTAATCAACAAATTCCTCACATCTCATCTTGAGTCAAATAAACTGCTGTCAGACAATCAATACGGTTTTCGATCCTCTCGCTCTACGGCCGACTTGCTAACTGCTGTAACTGAAAGATTTTATCCTGCATTAGATGGAGGCGGTGAGGCTAGGGCTATTGCTCTCGACATATCTAAAGCTTTCGACAAAGTTTGGCATGCTGGTCTTCTCCATAAGCTTGCTTCATATGGTGTTTCTGGGAAAGTTTTTGAGATTATCAAATCATTTCTTTCTGACCGGTTTATTAAAGTCATCCTTGAAGGCCAACACTCTTCTTTATTTCCAGTAACTTCTGGGGTTCCCCAAGGTTCCATCCTGGGCCCTGTTTTGTTTCTTATCTACATAAACGATCTTCCTGACAACCTTTCATCTAAAGTAGCTCTTTTTGCTGATGACTCAACTTTATACTCCTGTCTTGACAAAAAGTCTTCTCTTTTCGATCGCCTAGAACAAGCAGCTGATCTTGAATCTGATCTCACTTCAGTAATAGATTGGGGTTCACAGTGGCTTGTGAATTTCAACTCTAAAAAAACCCAATTGCTTACTGCAAACAACTACCGTAGTATGGTCAACATTCCTATATTAATGAATGGCAATCCTCTTACTGAGTCGTCCTCTTTACGTCTTCTTGGATTATCGCTTACTACTGACCTTTCATGGAAACCATATATACAATCGATTGCTAAATTAGCTTCTGCTAAGGTTGCTTCTCTTTATCGTGCTCGCCATTTCCTTACTTCTGATTCCATTCTCTACCTCTACAAATCTCTTATTCGCCCCTGTATGGAATACTGTTGTCATATTTGGGCTGGTTCTTCTAACGATTCACTTTCTCTTCTTGACAAGGTCCAAAAACGCATTGTAAATGTTGTTGGACCTGGACTATCTGCTAAGCTTGAACCTCTTTCCCATCGTCGTAAAGTTGCATCTCTTTCTCTTTTCTACAGATACTATCATGGTCACT